CACATCAAATGGTTTCCTCCCACATGACCCTGACCAGGGCCAGGGATGAACCGCAACCGAGGTACGTACCCTTGACCAGAATCGAACCCGAGATTCATTGGTCTGTGGCCGACACTCTAACTGCTGATCCAAACTGGCCAGAGCTATAATTGTTCTCTTTTAGTAATAGTTATTAATCTCTTTCTGTGCCTAATTTATAAATTAAACTTTCCACAGGTATGCATGTACAGGAAAAAACAGCACATTTAGGGTTCGGTACTGTCTGCAATTTCAGGCATCCACTGGCAGGTCTTGGAACTTATTCCCTACAGATAAGGAGGGACTATATTGTACTGTTACCAACTTCCAACATAATAGCTTTTCACCTGTAACTTCAAATAGCACAAAGTTGTAATATATATTAGTAACTTATGGGTCATGAATGTATTTCCTACAAATTATAGAAAAAATGCAGAGGAAGAGAAAGGCTGCATTTTAAAAAATGATATTCAACAAAATCACTCCTACAAAAAATATCATTTAAAAAGAATCTTGGCACATATAAGAATCAATGAATGCATAAATAAGTGGAACAACACATCGATGTTTCTTCCTTTCTCTATCTAAAATCAATCAATCAAATCTTGGATCTTGTTTTCACCATAGTACACCATCTATGATGGTTTCTCTGCAGTAATGGTTAAGAGAACAGGCTTCAGAGTTAGGCCTTCAGGATTTGAACTGCTGCTCTGTCATTCACCAGCTGGGTAATCTTATGCAAGTTATTTACCCTCTTTGAGCCAGTCTCATCTATAAAATGGAGATAATAGGGAGACGGTGTGCTGGGAGGTGGTAAAAAGAATAATAAAAAAGCCCTGGCCGGTTTGGCTCAGCGGTTAGAGCGTCCGCCTGCGGTCCGGAGAGACCCGGGTTCGGTTCCCGCTAAGGGCATGTACCTCGGTTGCAGTTTGTCCCCGGCCCTGGTTGGTCGTGCGGGTAGCAGCCACTCGATGTGTCCCTTTCACATCGATGTTTCCCTCTCTCTCTCTTCCTCTCTCTCCCTCCCACACTGTCTGTACAAAAAATGGAAAAATGTCCTCAGATGAGGATTAAAAAAAATAAAAATAAAAAAAAGTAATAAAATGGAGATAATAATATGTATTTCTTGGGTTGAAGAAAGGATACGTGTAAAGCTCTTAGAACCGCGCCTCACAAAGTACATAAGCACAGTGCTTAGCTCAAACATATTATTTGTTTATTATTTTCTTTGTTTTTAATTTTTTTTCCTTTATTGATTTTTCTTTTTTTAGAGAGAAAGGGAGAGGGAGAGAGAGATAGAAACATCGATGAGAGAGAACATGGATCAGCTGTCTCCTGCATGCCCCCCACTGGGGATATGGCCTACAACCTGGGCATGTGCCCCGACTAGGATTCAAACTGGCGACCTCTTGGTGCATGGGTTGACGCTCAACCACTGAGCTACACTAGCCAGGCTATTTGTTTATTATTTTGACAAATATTTCACAGTATATTTGTGGAAATCACCTACATTTGTTTAGTGTTAAAATTTTTTTAATGATTAAATTATTAAAAGGTGAAATAATTGAGGATCTGCTGTGTGATCCTCACAAATCATGCTAATTTATCATGATGTCATAAGATAGCCACATTTGGTTAGTCTCTTCCCAACCCCCCTTTGCTATGATATTCATCAGTCTGTTCCATACTTCCATGTAGAACTTATATGCATATATGCATAACCCATGGACACAGACAATAATGCGGTGAAGGTGGGTGGGTAGGTGGGAGCGGGGGTGGAGGGGGTCAGTGGGGGAAAAAAGGAAAACATCTGTAATACATTCAACAATAAAGATAAATTTTAAAAAGGGGAAAAGACTGCTACATTTGAACAATAACTCAGTTGATTTTCTTTAATGTTTTTATTTTTTAAATATGTTCTTATTGATTATTTATTTATTTATTTATTTATTTATTTTTAGAGTGAGAGGAAGGGAGAGATAGACACATCCGTTGGCTGCCTCCCCCAAGCCTTCTACTGGAGATCAAGCCCACAACCCAAGCCCACAACTGGGAACAGAACCAGGACCTCTCAGTCCATGGGACAAGGATCAATGCACTGAGCCACACTGGCCTGGCAACTCAGTTGATTTTTATTCTCAGCATTTAATATCATCCCCGAACGATCTTTTATTAACTGCATTAACTAGAATTTTACTTTAGCTGACATTTCTTGGCTTAAAGAGAAAATTTAGATACAGTCAGAAGTTTTCAAGTGCTTGGGGCTACCTGTTCTCCTTCCCACCTGTCAGAAGCAAAAAGGAAAAATACATGAAAATAAAATGATTTAGCTCCAAATAATACCTCATGAACCTTTGGTTTCAATATGTTGCATGGGGATTATGTAATTAGGTGATAAAAAGTTCCTTTCTCCTTTGAAACTAGCAGAGTCCTAGACTTTTACTTCCTTTCATCTTCTGTATGTTTGCTTAATGGAGTCATTTTTTTTTCCCCTTCCATATTTCCCAATTCAAGATTTGTCATCTTTGCCCTGGCCAGTTTGGCTCAGCAGTTGGAGTGTCGGCCGGTGGACCTATGAGTCTTGGGTTCAATTCGGTTCAAGGGCACATACCTTGGTTGCAGTTCCTCCCCAGCCCTGGTTGGGGTCATGTGGTTGGCAATCAGTCCATATGGCTCTATCACATCAATGTCTCTCTCTCTTTCTCTCCCCCTCCCTCCCATTCTATCTAATAATAAGTAGAAAAATATCCTTGGGTGCCCTGGCTGGTTTGGCTCAGTGGTTAGAGCATTGGCCTGTGGTCCAGAGAGACCCGGGTTTGGTTCCCGCTGAGGGCACGTACCTCAGTTGTAGTTTGTCCCGGCCCTGGTTGGGTCACGTGGGTGGCAGCCACTCGATGTGTCCCTTTCACATCGATGTTTCCCTCTCTCTCTCTTCCTCTCTCTCTCTCCCACTCTATCTAAACAAAAAATGGAAAAATGTCCTCGGGTGAGGAATAAGAAAAAAAAAAAGATTTGTCATCTTTGACTCTTGAACCCTCCCCCGATCTTGTCAAAGGTGGGTCTGTTCCTTCCCTGTTATCAATACTACTACCTATTACTTTTGCCTTCTATACTGCCAGTTTCACCGTCTACTGTTCATTTCATATATTTCCAGGTAAACACACTTCTGAAAAATCTCCAGTAACTTTTTTTTTTTTTATCCTCACCCGTGGACACTCTTTTCCATTTTTTGTTCAGATAGAGTGGGAGGGAGAGAGAGGAAAAGAGAGAGAGAAACATCGACGGGGACAAACTGCAACCAAGGTACGTGCCCTTAGCGGGAACCGAACCCGAGTTTCTCTGGACTGCAGACCGACGCTCTAACTGCTGAGCCAAACCGGCCAGGGCTCCATTGACTATTGCCTATGGAGTAATGTCTAAACACCTGTGCCTGGTTACAACCAAGGTCTTCCAGGACTTCACCCATCTCCCATGACTCCTTTCAAGCTGCCTATCTACACTGCTCTGCTTACCATTTCCAGTTTCTGCTTGGTCATTTCCTCCATTCTAAATTTTTCTCTTTGACAAGCTTATTTCCTTATCAGCTCCAGGTTTCACGGATGACGAAATCGACACTCAGAGAGGTTAAGTAACCATGACCTTGCTTGTGGTATGATATGAATCCAAGTTTCTCTGACTCAGACTCTTTCTGTTGTTGTTAATCCTCACCGGAGGATATTTTTTCATTGATTTTTAGACAGAGTGGGAGAGAGAAACATCGATGTGAGAGAGACACATCAACTGGTTACCTCCTGCAAGACCCCGACTGCGGCCAAGGATCGAATCTGGAACCCAAGAACATGCCTTGACTGGGAATTGAACCCGAGACAGTCTGGTCCACAGGCTAATCCTCTAACCACTGAGCCAAACCAGCCAGGGCTGGTCACTTAACTCCTAAATACTTCAGTTGTATCTCAAGAACAATGATACAGTGACCAAACTCAGGAAATTTCATATTGATGTAGTACCATTATACAGGCCATATTCAAATTTTGCCAATTGTGCCAAATCGGAAACTCATCCAGGATCAAGTGTTACTTTTAGTTCTCATATTTTTTCAATCTTTTTTTTAAAAAATGTTTTATTGCTTTTAGAGAGAGAAACATCCACAGGGATCGACCTGGGCATGTGCCCTGACAGGGAATGGACCTTGGGGTGCATGGAAAGATGTTCAACCAACTGAACCACACAGGTCAGGGTTATACAGGCTTTACAACTTTGAATTTTATAACTTGTGATAAGGCTGTCTCTTCACCTTTCAGGAGCTGAGAGGGCACCTATGATGGAGATTTATTTCGTACTTTTAGGGGGACAGAGGATTCAGAGAGCTCTTCCTGCTCTTGCTGCTTCTCAGGTGATCTTAGTTCGAAATAATCAATATACCACAGTGGATTACCTTGGGGCAGACTACCCTGGGTCCCGAAGATCACAAAACTCGTTATTCCGATGTTTCCCGAGCTAAATATGTTTAGGATTCACCTGAAAGCTGTAGACTGTTGTTTCACGTGTAGAGTGCTGGCCCTCAGAGGCTTCCATTCAGTGGATCTGAGTTCGGGCGCAGGAATAAGCACTCCGGATGGCCTGCGGATCAAACTCTGAGCAACAGCAGCCTCCAAAATAATGGAGGGAACTCTCCGGAGGCTGATGAAATAAAAGAGGGCGCTCAGCCTTCCTCGCCCCACGGGCCCCAGGGGCTGCGGTGAACACCGAAGCAGCGATCACTTCCCCCAACCCGGTCCCCCAAGCTCCTCACTTTGGGGCGGGCTGGTGGCTGGCACGCCGGTGAACGGGGCGGGAGTGGGGGCGGGAGTGGGCGGGGGTGGGGCCGGCCCCTCTGCGCCCGCCTATCGCAGTCTCGCGGAGCCGCGGCCGGGGAGACCCATGCCCCGCCCAGCCCCCCCCACCCCCGGCGCCCAGGTCAGGTGCTTAGTCACCCCGAGGCCACCCTTGCCTGGGGCCCGCGCCCCCCCCTTCCCGGGGTCCGCCCCGGGGCCGCCCTCCGCGCACTTCCCGGTCCATGGCCCTGCTGCGGCGGGCCGCGAGCACGAGCGCGTGGCCGAGTTGGCGGCGGGTGGCGCGCGCCTTCTCCGGCTTCCCGCTGCCTCAGCCCTCGCCCGCCGGCGCCCTCGCGGTGGCCCGCGCCTTCTCCCGCGCAATGGCGAGCCGGCAGGAGCCGCAGCCGCAGGGCCCGCCGCCCGCCGCCCTGGCCTACGACTACCTGGTGATCGGCGGCGGCTCGGGCGGGCTGGCCAGCGCGCGCCGGGCGGCCGAGCTGGGCGCCAGGGTCGCCGTGGTGGAGAGCCACAAGCTGGGCGGCACTTGCGTGAGTACCGGGTGCCTCCTGGCGCTTCCGGCGCCTCCATCTCCGCTGCCGCGCCGGGACCCGCAGCCTCGTCCCCTTCGCTTGTCCAGGAACTGTCTGCACGCTGACCTGCTGCGACCCGTCGCTCCGGGCCCCGAGCGTGGGCCCCCGCGCTGCGCTCCCCGCTCCCGCTCCCCGCTCCCCGCTTCCCCACCCACTGCTGAGGTCCGGATCCCAGCAGGTTTAGATGAAGGACGTGTAAAGGGGAGTCCCTGCGACCCCCAAAGCTAAACCTGTGTCTGTTCCGGCCCAGGTGCAAAATCAGCGATGGCCAGAGGTGGTTCAGTCTAACGTAACTTGCCTGTATCCTCACTGCTCACGGTGGAAGAGGGTTGTTCCGCACTTGAGCTCATCCCCAGACCCATGAAACATAAAACTGCACCTGGAAAAACTGCAGCCAGCCAGTGTGTATTGGGGGGGGGGGGGGGGGCGGAGAGGAAGTCTATGTCCTCGAGCAACGAGGATCCTGGTACTCGCCCTTCAATGTCAAGGGCACTGTGATTTACAGCGGTGGTTTTCACCCCTGGCTGCACACTCAAATCACCTGAGGAGTTGAAAAATTCTGCCTGGGTTCCGCTCCCATGGCTTTTGATTTCATTGGTCTGAGCTGCAGCCTGGCCGTTAGGATTTTTAGAAGCTCCTTAGGTGATTCTGAATTTCAGCCAAGGTTAAGAACCACTGACTACAGGTTTCCTTGATGTAGGATTTACTAGTAAATGATTCTCAGACCTTTTGCTTGTTTTGTTTTGTTGAGGTAGGGGGGATTTTAAAACGACCTAAAAGAGGGTTGTGAATCCTGCGACTGAGAAACTTCATCATTTTTACAAAGCTTTTCCCCCAAGTTATTGGCACGGCCTTTTCTATCACAAGACTTGGGTGAGGTACTTCCTGTTAATATTAAAATATCTCCTAGGATCGGGGGTGTGTTCTCTAAATTCCTTTGGAATCTGATATTTAAGTTATACTAAAGTGGGAACTCCTTAAGGGCAGGGATGGGTTCATGTGTTTGTGCACCTCTTATCATGTTAACAAAATACCTTGCACAATAACCATATGTGAAATGAATGAAATTCGGTATTAACATCTATGAAAGGGCCAACTCCTTTGTCCAGCTCTCATTTTTCAAATTCAAAATGAAAGTGGGAATGAGAAAAGAAAAAAAAAAAATCTGTTAATTATCAGCTTGCACCTTGACACCTTACTCCAGAGAAACTGAATTAGGAGAAGTCTGTCACTGGAGAAAGCAGATTGAGGGGTGCCACTTAAAGACCCCCTGGACAACTTAACTGCTCATCTTTGTACCTAATTACTTTTCTCCTTCCTCATTTATGTCATAATAATCTTGTGGTGTTCCCCGTCATTGTCTGGTTTTACTGGTATTAACCAAGAAGGGGCTGATCTGTGTTTAAGTTCTTGTTAGTAATGTGATAAACCACTAAGAGATAAGCCACTTCTGAGAGTGAACAGTTAAGGACAGTCAGCATTTACTGCTTTCATACAGAGTGACTGGCCTTTCTTATCTCATTCTGCTGCAGCAACTTTTATTTTCCTTATAAGCATTGATGTTTTGGGGAAATCCTCTATTTCATAACATTCCATTTGGGCTCTTTTCAAACTGGCTTTTGTACAAGGAAGGGTGTTGGTATGTGTTGAATATGAGAGAAGATATAACCAATTGATAAGACATAAATTCAGATTGCAGTTATCTGGGCTGTCTCACTTGCAAAAAATAAACTTATTATGAGCAAGAATTTCCAAGTAGGTGAAGGGAAACGAGGCTTTCTGAAGCACATAATTTTATTTGTTCATGTCTTTATTTTTTTTGTATTCTGAGTGCAAAGTATTTGGATTGGGGCTGGCTGAGAGAAAAGGGTAGATACAAACCTTTATAAGATAAAGGTCTGTTCTATCAAGGAATTTACAGTGTAGTGGGGGAACAAAATATAGACAATCAACCTCGAAGTGAGGTGGTCTGTATTAATTGTTGCAGTAATAACAAATGACACTAGTTGAGAGAAGAGTTGTAATTAGTCATTTCTGCCTGGGCACCATGGGATGGTTACCTGAAGAAGATAGTATCTTTCTGAACTTGAACGAATGAGTACTTTTTTGTGAAGGTAGAGTTAGGGCAGTGGCTTAGAGGCAGTGTATGTTGTATAATAGAATTTGACTGGAGCAGAAGATATCTCTAAAAGAAGAGATGGGAAACCAATGGGTAGGCGGTTGTGGTAAAAATGAGGAGTTTCTTTCCCTGGCCAGTGTGGCTCAGTTGGTTGAGTGTCATCCCATGCACTAAGAGGTCACTGATTATATTCCCACTCAGGGCACATCCTGAGTTTCAGGCTCAATCCCCAAAAGGGGGCATGCAGGAGGCAGCTGAGCGATGTCTCTCTCTCTCTCTCTCTCTCTCTCTCTCTCTCTCTCTCGCCCCCGCTTCCCGTCCTCTCTAAAATCAATGAAATCATATTTAGAAAAAAATGTGGAGTTTCTGAAAGTGTCACTGGACTAGGCCTGGAGTTGGTCTGCCTAGGGCCAGCCAGTAGTGTGTGGGTTCTTGACTTTGTGCAGGAAAGATTTTTTTTTTTTTTTTCTGTCCTATTCTATTCTATTCTATTCTGTTCTGTTCTGTTCTGTCCTATCCTATCCTATTCTGTTTTATTTTGAGAGTATGCTTACTAAAACTGGGGACAGTGAAATAAGGAAGGACTTAGGAGAGAAAAGCAACAGGAGAGAGACTAGGTGGTGCTTTGCTTTGGCTGTCTAGAAATGTTATAGGGAAGAAGTGGGCCATACTGGGCATGGACTCAACTGAGGAGTAAAAGTCACAATGACAGAAGTGAGCCATGGTGGAGCTGTTGTTAGCTCAGTGAAAAGTTAGAGAAAAGGGGGCTTTAGAGACAGGTTCACAGGGTAAACCCAGGACAAGCTGCTCATTGCTCCCCTGGTTGCAAATCTCGTAGGGACCCTTACAGTTTAGGAGAGAAAAGTAAAGATGCATGTCTGAGAGGGAAGAAAAGACATGGGCATGCTTCAGGGAGAGCCCGAGCTGGAGTTTTATCTCCTGGATTCCTACCTGTTTTCTAAAGGCAGGAATTTTAGGAGAGGATCGTAATAGAATATTCATCTGCTTTATGCTGATGTACCACAATGAGATTTATTCCCCACATTATCCCTCCTTAGGTGTAATTGGCACAAACAGCACTAATTGAATTTCTGTTATCTGTTTCCCTGACTAGTGATTTAAGCTATTTACCCTCTTCTTGGGGAAGAGAAGTTTAAACCATTTACTCTTTTATTTTTTCCCTGACTCACTCTTTAATTTCAAAATGAACCTTTTATTTATTTATGTGTTAGTCCTCACCTGAGGATATTTTTTCATTAATTTTTAGAGTGGAAGGGATGAGGGGAGAGAGAAGGAATCATCCATGTGAGAGAGATACATCCATTAACCAATCTGCCACAAGACCCCAACCAGGGCTGGGAACCCAACCTGAAAGCCAGGTACATGCCTTTGACTGGAACAGAACTCGAGACCCTTCAGTCAGAGGACTGATGCTCTAACTGCTTGAGCCAAACCAGCGAGGGCCAAAGGGAGCCTTTTTAGAGACAATAGAAACCATTCCAGCTAATCGGGAAATCAAAGGAAAAGGTTAAGCACTTCAGTACTGCACCTACATATAAATGATACCCGAAGTGTGCATTTTGAGGCCTTCTTCAGTCAAGATCTGGATCCACTGCTCCTGAGGTCTTTGCCCTTTCTCTCTCTTTTTTTTTTTTATGGTCCCAGTGTAATTTAATGCTGTAATGAGTCACTTTCCCGGAACAGGTGGGTGAGACTTTGAGGATGGTGTGATAGAGTTCTGGAGGTTAGAAGTCCAAAATAGGTCTTGTCTAGCTAAAATCAAAGCTTATTCTTCCTGGATGTTCTAGGGAAGAGGCCATTTCTGAGCCTTTTCCAGCTTCTAGAGGCTTCCCACATTCTTTGGTTCCTAACCTTGTATTGCTCCTACCTCTGCTGCCATTTTCATGTCATCTTCCTTAAACTACTTACCCTTAAGTGTCCTTGGTTAGGGAAAATAGGATTTTGCAATTCACTAGGTGGCTGTAAATTGCTTGGCTGTTTAACTATCTGTCTCAGTTTTCCTGTTCCACCTTTTCTGGCTTTCTAGCCTGTCTCAGAAGCACTATGAACTGTGGAAGGGTTTTGAGTAGGAGAGTGACACAAAGGGAGTTTAGTGGTAGTCAAATAGAAGTTTCTTTATTGATTTTTTTTGTTGTTGTTGTTGTTGTTCAGGTAGAGTGGGAGGGAGAGAGAGGAACAGAGAGAGAGAGAGAAACATCGACGTGAAGGGACACATCAAGTGGCTGCCACCCGCACAACCGACCAGGGCCGGGGACAAACTGCAACCGAAGTACATGCCCTTAGCGGGAACCGAACCCGGGTCTCTCAGGACCGCAGGCCGACGCTCTAACCGCTGAACCAAACCGGCCAGGGCAGAAGTTTCTTTAATATCAACTCCCCAGCCAGTTTTTTCCTAAATAAAATACTTTTTTTTTTTTACCTGTAGTTTCTAAATTTTCCATGCAGTAGTTTTGTAACAAGTTTTGTTTTTGTTTTTAATGTATTTTTATTGACTTTAGAAAAAGAGAGGAAGGGAGAAAGAGAAACAATCCATTGACTGTTTTCTGCACATCCCCTTCTGGGGATTGAGCTGGAAACCCTGGCATGTGCCCTGACCAGGAATCAAACCTATGACCCCTTGGTGCAAGGACTACACAACCAACTGAGCCACACTGGCTTAGCCAGTGTGACAAGTTATAAAAAATACAAGTTATTATTTTTAGGAGCTTGTTTGTTTGTTTGTTTGTTTGTTTGTTTTAAGCCTTCCTTCATGAAAACTTAGATTCATGGAGTGAGAACTAGGAGGGATTTTGGAGATTCACTGATCCAGTCTGACTGT